TAGCACAGAAAAATATATCTAGAGCATCTGTATCTACTTGCTCAATATGATTCAGAAACATGTTAAGGGTAGGGAAAATGAAAAAATTGACCATTTCCAGGAGAATAACAATTTTAGTAGAACTCGATTATCTTGTAATATATAACAGCATAATAGCCTGGGACAAAGTCCATTGGGCCCAAAGGACATTAGAAGTAATACCAAAGGTGTGAAACAGAGGTACATCCAGGTGTATTGACAGATTTTAGTCTTTCTTCCCACTCAATATGAATTTAGTCTTCACTAAGGAATTTTCAACAACAAGACTGAAGGCAAATGTCCTTATTGGATTTTAAGTATGGGTTTAGTATCAAAGGTGAGAACCTAGTCAGAATCAAGGTCTTTCAAGAAACAATACCCCAAGTTTGGAGCTAAAAAGACCTTAGAACCTAGTTGGAATCAAGATCTTTCTGACTTTCCCTCATTTTCTTTCTGATCATATTGATAGTCTCATACCTTTCTAAGACTGCCTCCTGATCACAAGACAACTCAAATTTTGCAAGTTTTTTTTCTTAAATTTTGACCCAGGGATCCAAAGTAAAAGATATATGAAATAGCCAACATTGCCATAGTAGTAAGAACAGAATGCCCAAATTATTATATGGACATCAGTGGAAAAGGGCAACAAGGAGCCCATGAGCTGTCCCTTGTTTTGGAAATCATACTGAAGAGTTAAAAAGACTTTTCTCTGTGGTTCAGAATGGGAAAAACATAAAGACTGTGCCCAGGGCCCTAGCCAGTAATAAAGTAAGCATGGTCCTGGAGTGATCTCTGAGTTTATGTGACTTAAATTCCAGAGCGAACAACAGGCAGATGTTCAGCTGAAGGACAGCAATTCCTCACTGTACCCTGCCATGTCCTTACATGCCCAAACCACAGTAGAGATAATCTCTCCCTCTATGTACCACAACAGTATGTCAGTACCCTGTATCTCTCTACCTGCCTAAGGGGAGAAAAGCAAACACTCATCCTTGCATCCCCAATGCCTAATTATTTCCCATTCAACAAGTGCTGCAGCCAAGAGATACCTCCTATTGCTGCACAGGTTCTTATTAACCATTATCACTTTGTTCAAAATCTTTCAGGACCCTGTTATGTGTCACTGTATTGAGTCCAAACCCACATACCTAATTTCTAATGCACTTCATGTTACGTGATGGATAGATTTCCCCAAGATAAGGACTCAAGTGGTTTTTCTTTCTTGCTATTGTTTCTAACATATTTATAAGGTGATTTTTTTGTTGCTTTGTATGTCCCCTCCCCCCCCCACGGTATAACCCCTGTTTTCACTGTATTTGATGTTGGTATAATTTGGGGAGGGGAAGGGAAAAAACAAAGTGTTTAAATAGGGATACAGGTGGACTCATTGTAAGAATGAGATGTACAAGATATTATGTCGAAAAACGAACTTTACAACTTTGAAAAACGAACTTTACAACTTTGGTGGGTGTGGGGGAGGGGTGCTGGGAGGGCAGGGATGGGAAGGGGAAACTAAGGAGGAAGCAACAATGCTTGGTAAGAAATGAACTCATTACCTTGTTTATGCAATTGTAACCCCTCTGTACAGTATTTTCACAACAAAAAACACTTATTAATTAAAAAAAGATATTGTACAGAGGAGTTACAGTTACATGAGTAAGGTAATGAGTACATTTCCTCTTGAGCTTTGTTACCCCCTTCTTTGTTTTTCCCCCAGCCATCCCTTCTCTACCCACCTCCCAAACTCCTCTCTTCCCACCCCCTAAGTTGTAGAGTTCGTTTTTAACATTTATTATTATTATTATTATTATCCTTAAGTAGTTGTACAAAGAAGTTCCCATTCTACAAAACAGTATATGAGTACAAGATGTCTGACAACATTGTTACCCATCACTCCTAACCCGTCCCTTCTCTCACTTTTTTTTAATTGAGATTAGGTGATTACATACGTTTCACATATTTCACAGCATTGTGGAATAATGATACTTAAAGTCACAAACACATTTTAACCTTCACAAGGTAAATTGTCTTTATTGCGGTCTAAAAAGTTTGTGAATTCTATGAGCTTTGACAATACAATTATTTCTTCCACATCAGGTGATGTTTACATTTCTTTCCTTTTGCTTAGTGTAAGCTGTTCCCTCTTTCCTTCTCATTCCTCCCGTCCCATTGCTGTCTTTGGGTTGCTTAGTTCTTTTTCTTCTATGTCCAGTGCAGCTGATGTGCCCCTTTGTTGTGTGTTATTCCATTTCCACTTATTCTGAGTCCTCCTCCTGGCTTCCCTCCATTGCATGCAACATAGTGTCTTGTACATCTCATTGTTACAATAGGTCGGCTGGTATTCTTATTTCAGTGTTTTGTTCTTTCCCTTTCCCTCCCCAAATTAGAAAACAATGTATATACAAGAAACAAAAGCAGCAAAGATAAACTCTCTTATGTCTCTATCTTGGGGTTCATTTCGCTTAGTACCATCTTATATGGTCATATGTGGATAGCTTTTGGCCTTTTTTACTTGTCTGGTAAGGTTATCCTACACATACACTAATTATTGCAAATAACGGAAACCATGGGACCTATGTGTCTTTGGGTCTGGCTTACTTCACTTAGTGTAATTTTTTTCAAGTCTTTCCCTTTCCTAACAAATGGGGGGGTAACATTCTTCCTAATGGAGGCATAGAATTCCATATATATATATATATATATATATATGTATATATATATATATATATATATATATATATATCAGTTTCTTGATCCATTCATCTACTGAGGGGCATCTGGGTTGGTAGAATTTTTTTTATTAAAAAGAAGTCTTGCAGCTTTTGTTTCTACTCCCTTGTAATTCTGAAGTAACATATAAAGAAATTTGGTTTTCCTAAGATAGATATCAGATAGAGTTTCTAGAAGCAAAAGACTGAGGAAAAAGAAGTCTTAGTATTGAGTTAAAGCAGTGGGGCACCAGTCTTGTGAACGAGGCCATCTTGGATTCTACAGCTGGAATAAGCAGCCATAGCAGACATGACCTGGTCCAGCTGAGCCCCATCCAGCCAAGTATCAAATCATGAGGAAATACAATGACTCTTTAAGTCATTAAGTTTCAGGCTAGTTTGGTACACAGCAAAGGACTACTGGTATATTACATGTACTGTTCCATATTAATTTCTTAAAAATAAATATGCTCACATGCTAACCATGGCCCTCTCATTTCCCACCTCACCCCCATCCATCTAATGTCTTCATTCATCTAGCTGATTATGGAATATCCAACAATGCAATGCAAAATCGGTGTAAATCAATGCAAAATCAGGGCAAAGTGATTAGAATGTGAAATCGCCAATCTAGTAAAATGCATAGGAAATCATGAAGTTGATGAAGGTAATACTAAAGAAGCCCTTGAATCATGGGCAACTCCTCTGACAAATGAGACTCTGCAGCTGGAACAGTTAACATTTTGAAGGAGATGAAATCAACATGGATGATGGCACAATAAGTGCTTCAAAGGGGAATGATTTGAATGTCAAACTTTAAGAGAGGCTCTTGGAAAATTGATGAAGCCCTCCAATATTTTTGAAATAATGACACTCTATGATTTACCCACAGAAGTCAAATGTAAAAGGATATGATATCATCGTATCATATAATTTTGTTGGAAAATTATGCTTCTCAAAATCAACACTTAATTCATCTTTTGTTTTATATATCTTTATAATAGCTAGGTTTTATAAAACCTAAGGTAAATTAATTTTAATAATTCTCCTATTTTAATTAAAAAAAGATAGTCTTATTCAAATCTTCTTCTCCCTCCTTAGTCCATATTTCCAAAGTATTTTCCCTAAGTGGGTTTTGGGGAAGCTGATTATCTGAAGAAATTGTGAGCCTCTGTATATCTTTACTTCATCTATTTAACTAGTAAGTATACTCAGCAAGGGTGGGTCTTACATCATGCCTTGTAAATATCCACGGCATAAAGCATAAGACGGGTTTCAATAACTGTGACAACTGGCCTGCTGCAGATCAACTGGGTCACACATAAATGTTGCTACTGAAGAATAGCACCCTTCCTTTAATTGCCTTTGATCCAGTATGAGCTGGTATTGTTCTCAAAAGTCTTCATAGAGGTCCTATTACAAACTTCCCGGTAAAAGCACTTTCAAAGGCATGTTGTGTCATTTTAAGAATAAGTCCCACATCCCAAAGTCCTGGCTAAGAAGGACCACATTTGAGTACCGGTGTACCACTTCACTCAGCAGGAATTTGGACATGTCAAACATTAGAACCACTCCAACTCAGCCTACTTGGTAGTCAGTCACACTTCTGGGTACATGTCAATAAATACTTTGCAAAGATGGGAGATCAGAGAAACTCTCTCAGCATAAATTCTAATTAGCTAAGACAAATCAACACACTGCCTTCTTAAAAGAAATTACTTAGGGCCTTTCTTTTGATCATCTCAAAAACAAAGAAAAAAATAAAACTATGCTATCAAAAAAAGTGTTCCCTCAGAAGAATTTCCATCTCTTATAAAATAATCCACAACATATATTACTTGTTTTAAGATCCCTGAAGTTCAGTCTCCTTCAATGTATATTTCATCCCCTTTTGCAAGAGTAATAAGAACTGGACTGTTTTCCCTGGCATTATCAGATTTACTTCCCTTCCTTTGCAAAGGAGAAACTAAACATCACAAACTTGGCTTTTCCCCTCCCAGTAGAGTACCCTGTGTTCTGCAACCTATCAGTCAGTTCTGGGGCAAACGCAGACAATATTTTCCGTTACAACCACTTGTATCCAGGAAAAAAAAAAAAATCAGACAACTCTGTAACATAGCAGCCAGAGAAAAGTTTACTAGCTTTAGCCAATTGGAAGCTCTGGAGCTCCGCCAAGTTAACATGTTTTTCTCCACCTCTAGATGAAGTCATGATTGAAATATGGCATTGAACTTGTTTGAAAAAGGAAAGGGGAGTAAGGGTGGGGGGAACTAAACCTGCAGCAAAGTGCCCTGGACTGTGGAGAATGTGGTTAGGAAATGTGTGTGTGTGCTTCTGAACTCTGAGTGGCTCTCCCTTCTGTAACCTTCGCCTCCCACTGGGTGGAGTAGAGCCTTTAATAGCAGCTGGAATGCAGTTCCCCTGATCAGCTTGGCCAGTTGTTGCCTGGCTGAACCTCTGCCACTCCTGGAGAGTGAGTGGTGCTCAGAGCTCAAACCAGCGGAGACAACTTCTGTATCCTCACCACTGCCCCCGCTGCTCTCCACGCAAGAAGCTCCCGGCACTGAAGCAACCATGGCAGAGGATGCCACACAAGCTGAAAAGTTCCAGCATACGAACGCTGACATGCTCCAGGAAAAGCCATCCAGCCCCAGCCCCATGCCTTCCTCGACGCCAAGCCCCAGCCTGAATCTAGGGAGCACAGACGAGGCCATCCGGGACAACTCCCAAGTGAATGCTGTCACAGTGCACACGCTCCTAGACAAGCTGGTGAACATGCTAGACACCGTGCAAGAGAATCAGCGTAAGATGGAGCAGCGGCAGATCAGCCTGGAGGGCTCGGTGAAGGGCATCCAGAACGACCTCACCAAGCTCTCCAAGTACCAGGCCTCCACCAGCAACACCGTGAGCAAGCTGCTGGAGAAGTCTCGCAAAGTCAGCGCCCACACGCGGGCTGTCAAGGAACGCCTGGAGAGACAGTGCGCTCAGGTGAAGAGACTGGAAAACAACCATGCCCAGCTCCTGAGACGCAATCATTTCAAAGTGCTCATCTTCCAGGTCAGTGTCCCCCCCCTCTTCTTCCTCAGCCTTGTGGCTCTGAATCTTCTTCAACATTGATGATCTCAGTCCTCCCTGGCTCTCACAGCCAATTTCACATCTGTGCTGCCAGTCAGGGTGGATGGCATGACGTGCACACACACAAGGCTTTTTCTCTTTCCAGCCTGTAGCAGGCAAAGTGTGAAATCCACAGCCTGCAGTGGGAATTTCCCAGGTCACCTCAGCCCAAACCTGAGGCGTGTGCCTGCCTGGTTAGTAGAACAGGATCATTAGTCAAGGAACATCTGGATGGCCTCCAGACAGGTTGGGGAAAGGTGCAGGTGTTATACCCACACCAGTCAAATTATTTGTCTTTTTTCATTAGGAACTTGGGGCTCTGGCTATAGCTGTTAGCTGGACAGGGAAATTTAATTCAATAGCTGCTTTGTCAACTCTTTGTAGACCTGAGGTAATCAAGTGATTTCTTTGGTTTGGTTTTTAACCATTTTTAACCATTAAACTATCCCTGTTTACAGAGGCCACCAGCGTTGGGGGACTAACCAAATGGAGAACTGGTTCTGCTCAAGATGAACTAGCATTCTTCTTTTAAGGCACTTTGGGCAAAGCAATTCTGAGTTTTTTTTCCTAACAAACAAACCACTAAGAAAATGTAGGGCGTAACACTTTACCAACACACTAGATAAGTCTCTCACCACTCAGAGAGACCACAAACTGTTAAGCCAAAGAAAACCGAGTGTTATCAGTTGCTGTCCTAAAGGCTAGTCTTGAATATTTTCTCCTTCAAAAGGTTCCTGTAGAATAAAAAGCCCACTTAATTTTCTTAATGCATCAATGATGCAATTAATGTAGCAAGAGGCTACTTGGGGACAGGAGATTGCGTGGGGCTGTTGTTCTGCCAAGTGGTGGGCATTTGTGAATCCAAGGGCAGTCCTGCCTGGTGCTGGAAGCCCTTCCGCCCAGTGGCACCCAGCCAGCCGCAGAGCCCAGGAAGCTTTTCCATCCTGCCTTGGGGCTGACTCCTTGTGACCATGTGAATAGAAGAGGATTTCAAAGGCATGGCGGGGAGAGGCTGTAACCAACACTTTGATTGAGAAAGCGACACAGGGGCAGCCTTCATCTCCCAAGAGAAATTGAGAAATTGGGATTTTCAAATAAGGAAGCCTTCTTTTTCTAAATGAATCTACTCTGCCAAGTCAGAACCTAAGCCTTCCTCTCCCCATAAAAGGAAAGACTCATCTTGCTGCTTTTTTGTCCACCCTAAATGGCACTTGAGTGTTAGAAAGGTTCAGACCATTGATACCCTCCTATATCTCGCGGGCCTTTGCAGCCAGCAAACCTTTTCAGTTTTTAATGTGAATGCTTTTTATGTACCTGATGAACTGAAAAAAGAGATATGGTAAGCCGTTTGAGTTCCCTACTTCATTAGCCTAAAAGTTATTAGGAGCCTCAACTCTCAAGGCATTTCTAAATTAAATAATGTTCTCCAAACAAAAGCAAGCATGTACAGACCTGTTTAAACCTGAGTCACCAAAGGAAATATTCCTTCTTCCAGTGTGAATTGGGAAGATTATCTCTCATCTCATCCTGTGATTTAGGAGGGAGGGGAGTATTTATCTAGTAAAAGGAAAAATCACAATTTGTCAGGATTGGTTTTTGCTTTGTTTTGCCACAGATGTTCTACAGATATGATGGCTGGGGGAGGAGGGAAGAGGCAGAGACTGGGAAGATATGTGACTAGAAATTCAGAAAACTATGAATCTGACATTTTAGCGAAGAAAAAAAACCACACAACTGTTTGGGAACTTAAAGGCACATGCTCTTGATGAGGGCCTGACATACTCACCTGTTTTGTTACATTGGATTGACAGGTGTGAAATTGCTGCCAGAAATGGTAGGAATTCTTCACTTAGTGAAAAAAGGCTGAAACAATGGTACTGAAGGCCAAAATTGAAGCTAAAAGAAGCTAAGGCAATGTGCTCAGCCTCCATTCTGAGCACCCTAGCTAGCATCCCTCCAGAGATAAGAAACAAGGAACACCCAGTTTCTTTAACCATGGAATAACTTTTCTGACCCTAAAGTATATTGGAAATCCCGATTCTTAAAATACTATAAAAATAGTTGGGGAGCAGGGAAGTTGGCTCAGTGGTATAGCGCTTGCCTTGCATGCCTGAGGCCCTGGGTTCGGTTCCTCAGTACCACATAAGCAAAAAGAAAAAAGCTGGAAGTGGCGCTGTGGCTCAAGTGGTAGAGCGCTAGCCTTGAGCTGAAGAGCTGAGGGACAGCGCCCAGGCCCAGAGTTCTGGCCCCACAACCGGACCCCCCCCCAAAAAAGTTGGGGAAACAAATGCAAATTTTGTCCTCATATTGCCCTGACTTTGTGCTTTCATAAAGCAGGAATTTCAATCAGGTCATAATTGCAGAAATGATAAAGAAATAATCAGTTATGTTAAAGAGTCAGACAATATAGTGATTGAAAAGATAAATTTAGGAATCAGAGAGAATGCTGGTTCAAATCCTAGCGTTATCACTTTTCGACTGCATGATCTTGGATACTATTTCTATCTTATTCTTATCTGTTTCTTCATGAACACACTGAAAATATTAATACATGTTTAAAAATCTAAATTCCTTTAAATCCCTGCACACACAGCTGAGGCTCTTTCTGTGTATTTTCTCATGTATTCCCAACTTACAGATCGGGATGCTTCGATTCAGTTTATATAGCTCATCTGAAGTTGTTTAGTAAAGAAGCAGTGAAACTAGAATTCAAGCTCATGTTTAATTGGTCCCAGGACATATCTTCTTAACCACTAATGCTTCCTTCCTCATATCTTTCTCATATACTGAGGGATAGAGCAAATAACCTATTTAGAATGGTTAGCTCAGACTGACACAATGTAAATGCTCAGTGCATAGAAGCTATTACTGAGTGGGTCTGAAAGGCATTTATTTGCTCAGAGAGATGGCCATGCTTTTACTTAGTTAGAAATGTGGCTTTTGAGCCAAAACTGACTCCACCCTTCTCAGGATCTTCAAGCAGCATACTTATGTTTTTAAGTTAAGAATTATTAATACATAAACAGATACACAAACTGCCACCACCAATCAGGTACCAACTGTCATGTCAATATCAACATCATGTTACAACTCCATGAAAGAAAAGGACTCTACCCAAAAGACTATTCTAATTGGCCCATCTAGTAGCAGGACATTCTTCAGCATGTGGCAGGAGTCTTACCTTTAGGGAATATGGAGGGCAGATGCATGCTGGGTACCAATTTGTGCAAGTAATTTGTCATTTTCAGTCCACTTGAACCTTACTTTCCCTTACTAAAACCATTTATTTTCTAGTTAAAGACAAAAAATGTGTGAAAATAAAAAGAAGGTGAGAAAAAAAGCTGACAGGTGAATTTAGTAGTATAGTGTTAAGATTACATTCTACTTTGTAAAATCCTATCACAACCTCCAAATTTACAAGTGATTGATTGGTTGGTTGGTTGGTTTACTAGATGCTTACATATTTGCATTCTTACATCCCAAACTTTGTTCTTAATCTTCCACCTGTAAAATATGTCCCTGGGCTGGGAAGGTGGCTCAGTGGTAGAGTGCTTGACTTGCATGCATGAGGCCCTGGGTTCGATTCTTCAGGACCACACAAACCAGAAAAAGCCACACGTGGTGCTGTGACTCTAGTTGTAGAGCATTAGCCTTGAGCTGAAATAGCTGAGGGACGGTGCCCAGGCCCAGAGTTCAGGCTCCATAACCACAAAAAAGAAGAAAGTAAAAAAGAATAAAAAGCCCCTTATTCATTGAAGCTTGTACTAAACTTTACTACATTGTAAAGCATGTAATTCTTCAATACTTGCTTCATATTGTAGCCAGTAGTATCTAAAAGCAGAAGAACATTTATCTCTCGTTGATCAACAAAATAAAAATTCAAGCTCTGGTTAAACTCAGCAGTTTTCCTTTTAAACTGTGCTGTAATCGCTTTAAGAACAATGTTTGAATTCAAAATACTGTGACCAAAACACTGTGTCCAAGTATAAATGATATAAGACTCACAGGAAATGTTCATCAAAGGGGGCATGCTAAAGAAATACAAAGATTAATGCTTTGCTGTAAGCATGACTTTTACTGAAAATAAAGCATACAGAAAATCAGTAAATTCAGTTAGAGGGAATTTTCTTTGCTGGTGGAAGAGGCTAGAATTCCAAAAGTAACTGGCTCTGGAGGTGTTGTATCTACTTAAGTTTCTAGTAATAATCATGTGAAAAAGCAGTTTGGGAATAATTTCAAATCCAAGCAACAAAATGAAAGTACTCATGACCAGCTTACACTTTCATCCACATAAAATTGTGAAATTGGGTGAAAAAAGTAGAGGTTAGATTTTCCAGTGGATATGTTTCTGGAAAAAGAAGCCTATAAATGTGCTTAAATATTCACCTTTTGGGTTCCTTTGATGAGACCAGAATTTTAGAAATGCTAAAAGTGTCTGTGTGATTTTTTTGTTTCTTTTGTATGATAGTAAAAGTGAAATATCTTCAGACTGCTTCACAGTTGACTCTTTTACACACTGTTCATCATTCAAAGCCACTACTCTAAACACTGTTCAGTTAGCACAGGCTTGGGAAATGGCAATATAGATAATCAAAGATGCTTTCACATGACACTATGCCATGTTTGTATCACGTTGATTAACACTCCATAATGGGGTATTGCTTTTGATGTGTAACTTATACAGTGCCTTTTTAGTTTTTTCAAGAGGAACAAAATGCTAGTTCTGGTATTATTTGTCCTAATTGAATGCCAGCACTTCCCTAGGCATGATTCAGTAAATAACTGATTATTGTTGCTATTTCTTTGGAAAAAAAATCACTACATTCTCTCCTATAGAGAGATTAAAACACTAGACCTTTTGTCAGACAAATTCCTTCCCCATAAAGCTTACCTTTCCATTGTTTCATAATCTGTATCTTATTGAACTGAACAAATGAAAAATG